AGCCATCAGACTTTGCAAAGCTCTAAGAGAAGGGCTGAAAGTGTCCTGTTTTGAAAAGCTTCAAACAACATTAAGGGTTAAAGGTTTTAATCCTATTCCCCATAGCAGGAGTGAAACTTTTGCTTTCTTGAAGCGATTTGGCAATGCAGTCATCTTGCTGTACATCCAGCATTCAGACAGTAAAGACATTAACTTCCTGCTAGCCTTAGCAATGACGCTTAAATCAGCAACTGACAACTTGATTTCTGACACATCATATTTAATTGCTATGCTGGGATGCAACGACATTTACAGGATCAGCGAGAAACTTGACAGCTTAGGGGTAAAATATGACTCTTCTGAACCATCAAAACTGGAACTTCCCATGCCTGGCACACCAATACCTGCTGAGATCCATTATACTCTGCTTATGGATCCAATGAATGTTTTTTATCCTGGAGAATATGTTGGGTACCTTGTGGATGCTGAAGGTGGTGATATTTATGGGTCATACCAGCCAACATACACATATGCAATTATTGTGCAAGAAGTTGAAAGGGAAGATGCTGACAATACTAGTTTCCTAGGAAAGATCTATCAGATTGATATTGGCTACAGTGAATATAAGATAGTCAGCTCTCTTGATTTGTACAAGTTCTCAAGGCCCGATGAAAGCTCTCAAAACAGAGACAGTGCTCCTACCACACCAACAAGCCCCACAGAATTCCTGACTCCTGGTCTGAGAAGCATTCCTCCTCTTTTCTGTGGCAGGGAGAACCACAAGTCTCCCTCCTCCAAACACCACTCCCCCAAAAAGCTCAAGGTGAATACTTTACCAGAAATCTTAAAAGAAGTGACATCAGTGGTTGAGCAAGCTTGGAAACTTCCAGAATCAGAACGAAAAAAGATCATTAGACGGTTATATTTGAAGTGGCACCCTGACAAAAATCCAGAGAATCATGACATTGCTAATGAAGTTTTCAAACATCTGCAGAATGAAATCAACAGATTAGAAAAACAGGCTTTTCTAGATCAAAATGCAGACAGAGCTTCGAGAAGAACATTTTCAACCTCTGCAACCCGATTTCAGTCAGACAAGTACTCATTTCAAAGATTTTATACTTCATGGAATCAAGAAGCCACAAGCCATAAATCTGAAAGGCAACAGCAAAGTAAAGAAAAATGTCCTCCTTCTGCTGGACAGACATACTCTCAAAGGTTCTTTGTCCCTCCCACCTTCAAATGTGTGGGCAATCCAGTGGAAGCCCGGAGATGGCTAAGACAAGCCAGAGCAAACTTCTCAGCTGCCAGGAATGACCTTCACAAGAACGCCAATGAATGGGTGTGTTTCAAGTGCTACCTTTCCACCAAGTTAGCTTTGATTGCAGCTGACTATGCCGTTAGGGGGAAATCCGATAAAGACGTAAAGCCAGCTGCACTTGCACAGAAGATAGAGGAGTACAGTGAGCAGCTGGAAGGACTGACGAATGATGTCCACACATTGGAAGCTTATGGCGTAGATAGCTTAAAAACTAGATATCCCGATTTGCTTCCTTTTCCACAGATTCCCAACGACAGGTTCACATCTGAGGTTGCTATGAGGGTGATGGAATGTACAGCCTGTATCATCATAAAACTTGAAAATTTTATACAACAAAAAGCATGAAAGTATTTAAAGAAAAAAGCAGAGCCAAATCTTGTTATAGCACAAATATGATTTCTGTACTTCATTCATCTTCATTGCCAGTATCTGGGAACTGTGGAGCACACAGTGGAGTGTGCTGAAAACATTGTGAAGCTGTATGACTCCTTACAGAAACCTTCACAGAGTTGAAAATGGACTTTGAGGATGGCAGTGAACTGCAGAGTTCCTAGGTGTGTTTGAACAGTTGGGTGGCACATTAGTGAACTGCACTTTATGTAACCAAAGCTTAGCAGTTTGTTAGATAAGAGCCTACGCATCTCTGGTAAGGAGGAGGTTAATTTTATGTTTTTAAACATGTTTTTGAAGTGGTTAAGGAAACACTGGACATACTGATTTGGATATATGAGGGGAATTAGGTCTTTGGGACTTATCACTTTCTAAGTGGACACTTTTAGATGCAATTTTTCTTATCAGCTGGATCTGATTATGAATTTGTTGCAGTTTCACATCTTAAGTTGTACATTTTAAAATGGTACAGTATTTAACCCTGATTATTACTTGACTAAGAGTGTGAAGATGGTCCTTGGAGTGCACTGGGTGTACTTTACATCTTTATTTTGATTTTTTTATACCTTGTGTTTGCAAGCTTCCTGACTCATGAAGATATAACTTATGGGAATCTCAAAGTGTTGGTTCCTACTACCAGATAATTGTTTCTAAAACTGCTTACCAACATGACATTTATCAAAATAACATTAACATTATGTTTTGTGTACATACTTTTCACAAATGTCAATATTTGTATAGTACGGCTGAGCAGGATGCAATCTTTTGCTATCTAAAGGTGCTTCAGTGAAAAAGAACTGTCTTTCAATATGGAACTTAGCAGGAATTTAAAAAAATTTTACTTTAAGTACATTAAAATTGCTCAGATCATTGAGGTGATGTGCAGTAGTTTACAAAGGGAATTATCAGTGTGTCCTGTCCCCCAGATGACTGAGAACTGACAATTAATTTTCATGAAGTTCAAATGTCCTAACATACATATGTAACATATTCTTTTGCATAATGTCAAAGAAAGGAAATAATAGCTTATAAGTGCACTGGCTGTAAATGATGCTTAAATATATTTTAGGCAATTAAGGGCTTACAGAACATGTTAGTTTTTTTTTTTTTTACTTCATTTGTAATAAGGAATGTTAATTGCTTCTGGATGTGAATCATGAATATTTTATGCTGTTAATATTAAATGCCATAATTTTAATAAAGAAAATGTATATAGAAAATCATTTTGATTTGTTTTTTAAATTTTTGTTTTGAGATTTTATTTTTATTTTATGTGTCTGTGTACCATCTGCATGCAGTGCCCTAAGAGTCCAGAAGAGGGCATCAGATCCTCTGCGACAAGAGTTAGAAATGATTGTTAGCCACCATGGGGATACTAGGAACTGAACCTGAGAAATAATACAGTTGTTGGAAATCAAACTTAGTGTTTCCCACGTTTTGAGTTTTGGGGTGCATCTGCATGTGTTCTTTCATTGTGAGTTTCTGGATAGCATTGTCCTGTATGTTTCATGCTGAGATGTTAGGTTTTTCTCATGGTTAACTAATAGAAAGTACATGATGTGTGCAGCCTTACTAGGTGTTCACTGATTTAGTTAAGAGCTTGCTTTGCCTCTGTAGGAAACAGAATTAGTTGATACTTCTGTTGGTGTGGATTTGAAAATAACTGCACCATGTCTACCATTTCTTGACAGTTCCTGTGTCTTAGGACAGCAATGTATTTGGAGCTGGTTCACATTTCGGGCACCAGACTTCTGATGCTAAGTAATGTTGTACTAGCAAATTCTGAATTACTTAAAAAGTGTGTTATTTTGATGTTTAGATTTAGTACTTAGAAATTTCAGCACTAAAATTATACAGGAAACTGCCTGGCCTTTGTGACATTTGATCTAGTTGAAAACAAACCTAGCAACTCAGGTTCACAATCCCTTATATGAAATATTGGGTCCAGATGTGATTCAGATTTTCACTTCAGTGAGCTAATCTGAGAGCATGTTAGGATGTTTGTTTAATTTTTAGATTTATTTTTAATGTATTTTTTTCTGAAACAGCTTTTTATTAAACAGCAAATCAGAACACAATTTTAAATATTTGTAATGCAGTCAAAAAAAGGGTTGCAATATATCTGCAATGTGATGATTACATGTCCATATAGCTACTGTCACTAATACATTAGATGATCCCACAAGTCAACACAGCCCAACCTGAGAGCCATCAGCTGCACTAGTGGGTCTTTCCTATTGTAACATTTTAACATTATTCTTAATATCAACTCCTTTATCAAATGGAAGCTACAAACCAAACAATTTTAAAATTGTTGAAAGAAATTACTAAAATTCTGCAAAGTCGTTGCGTTTACAGAAATTCTGGGAAAAACAACTGAGATAAAATACTAAGGTTAACAATTATCACATATACAAAACTCTCTTATATATTTATGATTCATATACTAACATACTCTCAATTTTTGCAAAAGTTTATTTCCTGGGTACAAACCTTGAGACCAAACTCTTAACTGGTCCCTCTTATTTGTGACTTACTTAACCTGCTTACATCAGACTTAGTCTGATTTCATACTGTCCCAAAATTGCAGCTGTGGGCCAGAGGTGGCATGCATCTGGAGAGAAAATATTTGGAGTTGGTTACTTCTGTTATCCAGTTTTCCTCCCTATTTCTATCTTTCCTCAAGATTTTCTATTTCTCACATACATGTGACCGGCACTCTTATCTTTTCAACACCAAATGAGCTATTTTGTATAAAAAGGGAGTTTTAGCTTCTCAATGGGACAATTTACATTTCAAAGAAAACCCTTCATTTTTATAGCTTCAATCTATCTTCAATTGATTAAAGAGAAACCATCGATCCTATCTTATTACTAAATATTACAAATGGCAAGCCTTAGCTAAGAAAGTAGCTTATTTTGGTTAAGTGTCAACAGTTACAGTTCAGGTTACTCTGGTAAGTGACAACTACTGAAGTTACCATCAGGGAGATGGGGAGGAAGAGGCAGATGGGGGAGAGGCACATGATGGTGGACAGGGTACAGAAGCTGTGCATTCAGTACATGTTTTTGGTCACTGTTCACAACATGGTTATTCTCTTGTATAGTTTACTAGTTAGGCATACGATAAAGGACAGTGCTAAACCTATAGATATATAAGCATTGGCAAAATATTTTTCTTCAAGTTTTATAAGTATCTGTCATTCTAATTACAAAGTCTCTACATTTACACATTTTCATAGACTAACATTAACTCAGGGATGTTTCCTGTTAAGCAGTTAATATTACCTATATCTGACATTCTCCTTATAAATACTCAAGGAAGCAAAGAATACTGTATCTTTTGAATCATACCTAAGCTTTAAGAAAAAAAGCAACTCCATAGAAGAGAGGGAAGTGAACCCTTTACTTCCTTTTGCTTTTTGTATCAGTTGTTTGAAAAACACTAGAAGCAGACATGAGGTTCTTTATATATTGTCCAAGAGCTTGATTTTCTGATTTTTAGCTTCAGATTTTCTTCCTTAACTGCTGGAGTTCCAACACTTGATTAATAAGTCGAGTCTTTTCTTCAAGTTCTACCTGAGTCTCAGCATCAACTGCATCCATGTCAGCATTCATCATCTTGGGTAACAGACTTTCAGCTCTTGGATGCACACTCTTTGATGAATGGTCTTGCATCTGAGGTGGCAGGAGGGGGCGGGATGGGTGAGATGCCTCAGGCTGCGGCTCTCCTATTTTTAATTTATTTTATTTCACTATTTTATGTGTATGGATGCTTTACTTGTATGTATGTTTATGCACCATGTACATATGTTGAACGCCCATGGAGGCCAGAAGAATTAGATCCCATGGAACTGGAATTATGGTTGGTTATAAGCCACTATGTGGGTACTGGGAATTGAACCAGGGTCCTTTCGTAGAGCAACCAGGTGTGTTAACTGCTGAGCCATCTCTCTAGGCCTGTGAGCTCATGTGTACTTTTAATGAAACATCTTCATGGGGCTTGACAACACTCTTCAATCTTCTGCAGTAAGCCTGTGAATATTCACCCTAGCTTGACTACAAAATCTTTATAAATAGCCTTGCAGAATTGAGATCAGGTTTTGACAGCAGCAGCAGCAGTAGCTGCTGTAGCAAGTGTATTTGAAAAGTCTTCTCCCCTCCAGATATTGAAATTGAGAATAAAGAATTTCTACCCTGAATAAATTTATACACTTATGTCTTATGATTTAAAAAATCTATTTGCTTCTTTTCTTTTTATGATAATGGAAACTGAATGCCAGAAGCAGGTGCTCCTGGGTAGCTCTTGGTTAAGATGGGGTAGGAGTAATGCCTTCACTCGGGATGAGACAGGGCATCTAGCAAGGATGGGTGTCCTGGGTGAAACAGGCAAGTCTGTACACTAAATTCAGTACAGCAGAGAGGAGAACAAGGATGTTGAGCCCAAAGAAGTATTCCAGTGAAATGTTTAGTTGACTTGGGGATGGGTGACGTTTATTCTATCAGTGCTGCTCATAAGCTGTGCTCTTTAAATCTTACACCACCCCCATGATTCATCTGTAGTTCCCATAGAAAATGGAAGTCATTGTAACTTCTAGTTATGTATCAGTCAGAACCAATAGTGTGTGTGTGTGAGGAGATTCACTGCCTGGCATTGCCTGGTGACTGGGCAGAAATCTAGAATATAATGATTCACCTAAAGGCTGGAAAGGCTCAGGCACATTCTACAGATAGGATTTCTCAACACTTTGATTTCTAAATTTATTGCCCATTTGTCTTACTATGACTTAAGGTTACAACTCATTTACAAAAAAAAAATTGTACTGGGGTTCTCCGAGGAACAGAACTGATAGAACAAACTAATATATACTTAAATGTTAGGGATTTATCAGAGTGGCTTACAGGCTGTGGTCTGAGTAGTTCAACAGTGGCTTTCTCCTGATGGAAAGGCCAGTGATCCAGTAGTTGTTCAGTTCCTGAGACTGGATGTTTTAGAAGTCCCAGAGAGCTGCCAGTGTTCAGTTCACATTGGGACCCTAAAGAAGTAGATTCTAACACCAGTAAAAGAATAAATGGGTCAGGATAAATGAACATTCCAGTGAGAAGTGAGGGTAAGTAGACAGATTACAAGCTTCCTTCTGTGTCCTTTTATGTGGGCTAACACCAGAAGATGTGGCCTAGATTTAAGTGGGTCTTCTCATCACAAATGATTGCAATGGAGGGTGGGTCTTCCACCTCAAATAATCCAAGAAAAATCCCCCATGAGTGCATCCAGCTGCTTGAGTTTTAATTGCTTCCAAATGTAATCTAGTTGACAATCACACAAACCCCTTAGCACATTGTAGGTGTCCCTTGTATTAGGCCTGGGCATATGGTGAGGGCATTCCAGCCTGGCTGTCTCAATCAGACAAAAGCCTGGCATGCTTTACCTATCAACATTACAAAAATGATCTGCATACTTTCTAAAGCCAAATTAGTTAACTTTAAAGATCATGAGTGTAATTGGGGAATAGTGGAGCTGGGCAGTGGTGGTGTATACCTTTAATCCCAGCACTAGAGAGGCAGAAACAAATAGATCTCTGTGAAATCGAGGCCAGCTTGGGCTACAAAGTTCAGGACAGTCAGGGCTGTTACACAGAGAAACACTGTCTCAAAACACCAACCCCCCCAAAAAAAAGGAATTGTGGAACATGGTTCAGGAAAGTATGTTCTTTGCTACCTCTTCTGAATACAAAGCCATTGTTGGGAGGACCTGTTGGTTAGAGGTTGCAGTCTACGATGGCCAGCCCAGGCAGCTCTCTCCAAGCTTGGTAGCCTGGAGGACTCCTTCCCCAGTGAGACTTCCTGCTCTCTTGCCTTTATTTGGAGAATGTCTCTAGGCCTGGATGCCTGACTTATTTCCAGTGTGGGAGGGGACACAGGCCCCTACAGAAGCTTTCCCTCTGCTGCCCATATGGTAACCAGATTTGCACTAGGAGCATTATGATAGGAACATGCCATTTAATGCAAATTAGGCGATGCTCCAGTCTCTGTCCCCATCCTTTATATCTCTCCTCACTCTGGAATAAAGAGCTGTCACTGAAGCTGGCTCCCAGAAGCTTATTTCCACCTGTGTTCACAGTCCATACAAAACTCTCTGTTGCCCCTTTTGCCCCTTTGTCCTTACAGACTGGTGGCCAACAGACCTTGAGGGGAAAGGGGATAACACAAGCCAAAGCCTCTAAGAAGCCAGAAATGAGCTTGAACTCTACTCTGTTAATAGTATGCTTTTCATATGCAGTGCTCACACTATTTAAATTGTTGGCTTACATTTGATGCAAAGTTCATTGTGTTCTAAGCTATAAAAATGTAGATAGTGAAATTTAAAACATGTAGTCTACACCCACTGTTATTTTAAATCAGGGAAGGGACAACACCCACACAAAACAGATACATGAAAACCATGCCATATCAGACATTCTACCTTTATTTGCTGTTCCTCAGGACAGCTATGGGTGAATTGAGGGAGAGCTCTGCCATCATGGCTCTACCCTATTGCCCCGATCCTCGGGACATTCAACGTGGGGGCTGGAGGGAACCTAGGAGAAAGATGGGGGACAGGGGGATACAAGAATGGATGCCAAGACAGGATTTTGATCAAGGCGATATCTTTATTCATCACAAAGGGATTTATATAGGAGAAGTGGGGAGGGGAAAGGGGTTAAGGTGTATTTGTAACCGCAGGGCAAGAGGTCAGTGGGAGAGGTGGTCTACTGTGTTGCCTGGCGGCCTAATCTACAGGGCAAGAGGTCAGGGGTAAGACCTTCTATGTTGTTTGCTAACCTGACAGCAGGGTCCTATCCTATCTATTACAATTTGCTGTTGCTCAGGCCTATCTCCTGAGGACTTTCCAATTAGGCTAATCTTTAATTAACAGATAAACTGCAGGCTTGTTTCTTGGAATTTGCTTTATGTCAGAAGAGGTGGCAGGGTGGTCTTAGTGTCACGACTTCTCTATGAGTACGTGATACAGCCTAGCTGACTGATGGCTGGAGGCCCCTGACATCTCCCCCTTTCTGGTTAAACAAAAATTAGGTGCAGCCGGAGTGTAAGTTACCTGAAAAACCACAAGGATGATGGAGCCTGCCTTAGGATCGATCTGAGAGGTTTCACCCCTTACCTGTCATCGGATTACTTTGTCAGCCTTCAAAGCTCCTGTCTTAGGGGGGTGAAATCATCAGAAGGGAGCCCGTCCTTGGTCAGCCATCAATAGTGGTGGTTATTTATTTTGTGGGTAAAGGGGCCTTCCAAGGTCCCTGGCTGGGGCTGCATGGGGCCCATGAGCAGATGATGTGCTGCTGTCCTTGGTGACTGCCTCATGGTACTAGCATCTCCAAAATTCTGAGCTCTCTGCTGCACTTGGGCTGTACCTTCATCAGTAGCCTCTGCTGACCCTGCCACGTGGTGCCAAACCTCAGTTTATGACCCCTTTAACTACTGAGACTTCTACTGCACCAAGGCTGCAGCTTCACCGATGGCCTCTCCTGGTAGCAAGCCCCAGATGTTCTCCAAGACCTCCTCCTGCCTTGGAGAAGGGGGAAGAGACCTGGGAGACTCTCATGCATTACCATGTTCACCTGCCAGCACAGGTTCAGCCTGACCCCCTCTGGATCACAGCTTCTTGTGATGAGAGAGAGAGAGAGAGAGAGAGAGAGAGAGAGAGAGAGAGAGAGAGAGAGAGAGAGAGAGAGAGAGAGAGATGGATGAAGCAAAATCTTGTAGGAAATGTTTCCTCAGTGTCAGCACACAGAAGCTGTGACCTGGAGTGGATCAAGTCTCTTCCAGCAGATTTACCTTGGGGATGCTGGTCTCTTCTTAATCACAGTTGATTCATCAGGCCCAGATGACCAGTATTTATTGTCCCAGCAAAACAAAATTTTCACTTGAGTGGTTCTTAATTCACAATTACATGATCATGCCTGATAAAGTCTTCAAAGGACTCTCAAACTCCCTCTGAAGCTTCACAGCCAGGGGTCTGTTGTCTGCACTGCTCTTGGTATGATCTTCTGTGTTTCCACAACAGCTCATTAAGTCCCAGACACTCAGTGGCTTCTCTAATCCAATGTCCTAATGTCCTTCCACAATCTTACCAAAACTTACTGATCTGTCACAAAAATAGCCCTTCCTGGTACCAATTTCTGTCTCACTTTCTAACTCTGTGATGAAACATCATGACCAAAAGCAACTCTGGAGGAGAGTTTATTTCAGCTTACACAGCCACATCATAATCTATCATGAAGGAAGTCAGGGCAGGAATTCAAGTCAGGAACCTGGAGGCAGGAACTGAAGCAGAGACCATGGGAGAGCAGTGCTTTTTGGTCTGCTTCCCATGACTCTCTCAGATTTCTTTCTTATAGAACCCAGGTAAAGGGCTGGCCACACCCACAGTGGGCTGGGCCATCCCCTGTTGTTCATTAGCTTTAAAATGCCCTCTAGGTTTGGCTAAAGCCAATATTGTTCTTTACTTTTGAGATTATAATACAATTACATCATTTCTCACTTCTCTTCCCTCCCTGTGAATCCTCACATATACCTCTCCTTGCTCTCTCTCAAACTCATATTTTCTCTCAGTCTCATAACAAACTCTGGCTCCTATAATCTTTCTGCCTTCAGGGAAATCTTATGAAAGGATTTTCTCAGGTCTGACTCTGTCCTCTAAGATAAC